CCCCAAAACCCCAAAACCCCAAAACCCCAAAACCCCAAAACCCCAGTACCTGATTAAGTTATTGAAGCACACAAATACCGACAGGTACGGATCTAGTCTAGTGATACCGTAAAAGGAGATACTGAAAGTTCCTAATTGATTATTTGGCTTACAAAAAACTGGAAACAGAGGGCTGGCCTGTTTCCCATTTCTTTGAGATATTTATCTCCTCTGCTCAAGATGGGAGGAATGAGATAACAGTGAAGGAATTTAGTATGAATCCAGCTAAGGGATAATTTATACTAAAAGTATCTCTAAAGCCACTCAATTTAGAAGGTGATCTGGCTGATTTCTCTCAATCTTCAGGACAATGAAGAGCTCGATTTAAGCAAGAAAGGCTAAGGTACAAAGCCTCAATGAATTATCCTTCAAACTATATGTTTTAAATAATTATGGCAAAGAATGGATTCAACTCAAGACAATCGTATACAGTGCAATTTTTTTTGATTTAATTAGTCCCTCTCATCCTATTAATCTTATCTCCCATGGATAGTCAGTATTAGAGAGGATATTAGAGGTCAAAGATGATCAACCGAGCCATTAATTGAGAATCCATGGTTTGAAGAATAAATTTAGCCTCATTCTGAATTCTTTACAAAGACAAAACAATTGCTCCATTTTCTTCGTGTTTGATTCAATTTGTCTATTTGGAAGATTCAAGTCGGTATACTTTAACTTCTGTAAAGTAGTTTCAGGTATTAAATGAGAAAGAGAGAATAAGGTTATACCTCAAATTTTATGTGTAAGAAACATAATTTTCTAAAAAATTTCAAAATATGATAAAATTAATGCCTCAAAACACGCATTAGAGATCACTCTTCCTTAGATAAAGCCCTCTTCATTTATATAAGCTCTCTCTAAGTATGCCTGTTTTTATTGAATTTCTAAATTGACTTTCTTCAATTTTGTAGCCTCATTAAGATCTAGGAATAGAACTTTCTCCAAATACGAAATCATGGCTTCTTGGTCATCAACAGCATGTTGATAGATCTTATGAGCTTAGGGCATCAGAGTATTGAAATTAATATATTTCAAAGCCGCAATTAGCCATATCTATAACTACAAAGACTTATTCTCTGACTTATCACAAAATGAATTGCAATAATATGTCTTGACTCCTCTCATGAGGATATATCTAGTATGGAGGGCCTTCCTTAACAATAAGACTCTTTATAACATAATCTAGCACTAAAATCCTTTATCTATTTTAAGCGAGCATGAGTGAGAACTGGAAATGTTTATGTTAATAGTATTATTGCAGATAATTTAATAATTAAAATTTTCCGGAATTTTAGGCAAAATCCCGAAAATTACAAAATTGATTTTCCTAGTTGGAGTCATATGTTTTCTTGACCTTCTCAGGCACCAGGAGGCCGAATAATTTCTCTCACTGTCTATCCAGCTTTTCACTCGAGCTTTCAGGTAATGATCCAGATTTATTTCCATCGGTGCTCTCTTCATTTCATGAAGAGCTTTTGCTTTTGGTGAGATTTGAGTACTGAAAGATCTATAAAGGTATGATAAGTAAGTCTAAATCATATAGGAGCAAGTATTTTGTCTCGAGAAAAATTTGGGACAAAAGAAGGAGGTATTAAATTATGTAAGAATCCAAAAGAAATTTTGTATAATTATCCATAAAAGACTGAAGCTCAAATTCTGGCTAATCAGGAGTTCTTAAAACTAAATAGAGTCCATCCTTAATAACTTTTAAGTTCTCTTACCTTCTTTTGAGAATCCTTGTTGTTTGGGAATACAAACTTCAGAAGCTTTATCTCTTCACTGCTTGCTGATACCTTATCATCTTCATGTTTAGAGAGGGAACAGTAGACAGGTACTCCTATCAATAGGAGAATTGAGACTACCAAGAATCCGCATAAGATGATTGTATCATGGTTGGAAGAGTCCCCAACGACACTGAGGAATTCATATGATTTGATGAGGTTGACAAGATTTGGCATAATCCAACTGAAACTTTAATTTATTAGTATTTTCAACCTCACCTATAATTTATGGGGTTTTGGGGTTTTGGGGTTTTGGGGTTTTGGGG